ATTTAGTTAAACATTAGTGAGAAGTTCATTTATTTTATCCCTTTCCAACTTACTGTCAATTCCTTATGTGTTTTCTGATTATTTAGCTAACCTATCATTAAAATATAAAATTTTAGACAATGAAAAACATACAATTTGAACATTAAATTATCTGAACCATAATTATCTAAAGGGAAATATATTCTAGATTTAATAAAAAGGCCAGTTTAAAAAAGATATATATGAAATTACTCCATTTTTTTATTTAAAAAAAAACACAATTTTGTGAGTATATATGTGTATTCTTTTAAGAAGATGCCATCACTGGTTTGGCTTAGTGGATAGAGCGTTGGCTCTTGGACTGAAAGGTACCAGGTTCAATTCCGGTCAAAGGCATGTACTTGGTTTCAGGCTCAATCCCTGGCCCTGGTCAGGGCGAATGCAGGCGGCAACCAATCAATGTGTCTCTCTCACACAATGTTTCTCTCTCTGTGTCTTTCCCTCTCCCTTCCACTCTCTATAAAAATCAATGGGAAAATATCCTCAAATGAGGATTAACACACACACACAAATGTCATAATTAAATGTGTGCTTAGAGTTGATCATTTTAAAAAGAATAGGTTGTGATTAATTTTGCTTTGGCATGAAGTACAGTGCAAATAAATGGATGATATCCAAATACAATAGCTCTATTGTATTTAGAGAAATCCAAATACTGTATAATATCAAGGGGGTGGGGAACAAAGGTAAGTCTTGAGGAAATAATATGATCCGTGATGTGCTGGTAAATATTTAACAACTAGCTTTCAGGTGGGGCAGGGTGAAAGTCCTATATAGCATTTACCAATTTCTATCGCAAATACTCCCAACATTACTCGTTTCAAGCTACTAATATGACGTCACTGAATGCAGAGTCGGGAAGAGATATACAGTAGCACATGGTGACATAGTATTTCCATGATACACATACAATATGCAAATAATTGCAAAAGTATAGATAATGCCAAAATGCAGTTAACTAATTAGAAAGTGATAAAGTTTGTGTATGCACTCTTTCTAAGTCTGGAAGGAGAGTCACTAATATAATAATACTAGAGGCCCGGTGCACGAAATTTGTGCAGGGGGGGTGTCCCTCAGCCAGGCCTGCACCCTCTCCAATCTGGGACCCCTTGGACATCCCTCTCGCAATTCGAGACTGCTGGCTCCTTACTGCTCACCTGCCTGCCTGCCTGATCACCCCTAACTGCCTCTGCCTGCCAGCCTCATCACCCCTAACCTCCTCTGCCTGCCTTCCTGATCACCCCTAACTGCCCTCCCCTGCTGGCCTGATCACCCCTAACTGCCCTCCCCTGCTGGCCTGATCGCCCTAACTGCTCTCCCCTGCTGGCCTGATCTCCCCTAACCACCTCTGCCTTGGCCCCCGCCACCATAGCTTTGTCAAGAAGGAGGACCAGACGACCAGAAGATGCCTGGTCTATCCGGTCTAATTAGCATATTACCCTTTTATTAGTATAGATTGATCATGTCTGAGTGGAAATTTCATGAATCATATTTATTTCATTCTTTAGACTACTCTATGTCATTTAAAATTTTTCAATAAACGTGTTATCTGTATAATCAGAAAAAAATAATTCAAGGTGTGTGTTTTTTCTTATTTACTAAAACCTAGGGAAGAAAAAAATATCAGGGAACATTACTTTTAACACAGGTCTGACTGGAACAAAATACTTTTCCAAAAGGAGTTTGAGTTCACAAGGGTGTCACTGAGAATAATAGTGAACGTTTGAATCAATTAAACCGTGATAGCTTTGTTTAGTCATGATTAAGGAAATGAGCATTCAGTGTTTATAAGGCCTTTCAAAATATACATATGCAACATCAGAATTCAAAGGCCCTCTGATACTCATGTTACAAATAAGGAAACTGAGATGGGGGTGGTACCTTTTCTACCTGGTGCAACATAGGTAGGTGATTTCCCAAGGTAAGGCTATAAGGCAGGGTATAAGGTGACTCAGATCCTCTCCATTTATAAATAGTCTCTATCGATTGTGATCCAAGTATATATTCCTCACTTGTCAGCCTATATAATAAAGAGCTAATATGCTAATTAGACCAAACAACAGAACAACCCTCTGGATGACCTTCCAGACGAAGCTGGGGCTGCGAGGGCCGAGGCCCTTGCATGAATTCCGTGCATCGGGCCTCTAGTTATTTAATAAGAAGAGATGACCTCACTTGAGGAAATACTATTCGTTGGATTGACAAATTGCTGAAGCTTCCATCTTTGGTTGGGTAATAGCATCTTACTCTTTTCCAGAATTTTATACTTCTCAAAACACTTCCTCATAGATTACCGCAGTTGTACTTCATAAGAGCCCTGTGAGACAGGTAGGGTAAGAAGGACCACTCCTATTTCACAGATAAAACAAAACAAAAAACTGAGGTGAAAGCAGGCAAGTGGCTAGCCCAAGGCTAGTGAGGCATCTGATCTGGGCATGGTGCTGTCTGGGAGTCAGTATCTCTTTCGAGGCCTTTCTGAGTCATTTGGGTGTACCTTCTCTAAATGGCAATTTCTCCGGTATTCTTCCTTGTTCCTTTAACAAATTCTTTCTTCCATCGGCTCCTATCTCATTTAGTACTTAAGATACTACTTTCAGGTCACTCGGAGTTACTCCTTAGTGTATCTCTTTTTTTCCAGAATGAAAGATAGTCCCAAGAATCTTAAGGCCTGGAAATATTCTTGTTCTTCTCTATTTGACATGAGGGCTGACCCCTAGCATGCTGTTTTCTCTTGAAATTTGAAGCGATTTCTATCATCAAAGGAATGACTTCTGCAAAGGTCGGGTGTATGTTATAAAGCATGGAACTATAAACACTTGGGTATGACACACTTCTAGATAATCTTGGCTTTCTAAATAGGTTAACACTGAAGAATGAGAAGGCAGGCTTACTCAGAAAATACAAATCATCTATAACGAAATGGATCCTGGGAAATCAAAGATCATGTGTTCTCCTAAGCTTTGTTTTATTAAGGGAAGAAGTGGGTTCTCCTGTTAAGAGTGCAATGTCCCCGGAAAGAACTGAAAAAGGTACCAATGAGCTATGTTCAGGTCCAAAGACAGAAGAGCTACCAACTTATAGTAACCTATGTGGTGCCTCAGCTCCTGGGCTTATGTAACTTAAGACAAGCAAATTCTCAGCCCATCGGTTTTCTCATAGTTAAAACAGAAATCATAACGCCTAACTCACAGGTTGTAGTGAAAACTAAATTAGCTAGTGGCCAATAAGAAACATTTTGTAAACTAAAAATTGCCATGAAAATATGTGGAATACATTTAAGATATCTTGATAATTTTTGAAGTTCACTGCTCTAGGCAAGGGGAGTGGAGTAGTAAGTTAAAAGGGGCGACAGAGTGTCAAACGCTGCAACAGGCAGGTGGCCAGGTTTCTCCAGGCAGAACAGGATGCATACTAATTGCTGCACCTCCACTGAGACTCTGGGCAAATGACTCCTTTCCAGAAAACAGTGTCCCTCTCCATATCAAAGGCTCTCTCCTAACTGGGCTTTCAGCTCCATGCAGAACTCATGGATGCCCTGATGCATTGAGGTCAGGGGAAGTGCTATTATGAAGATGAATATTAAAATTGCTCCTCGGGAATGTGTAAGCTCCAGAAAGAATACTAGTTTCCCTAGAAGGGATAGTGGCTTCTCTAGAATGTCTATTCTCAAGGACTCATAGTGAGTCTTGAGAGACAAATTGTCAAAGAGCAGAAATGAGTGTAGAGGAAAAGCATGGGTGTGTTTTGATCTGATAATTTCAGGAACTACTTTAAAAATTAGAGGGAAGAAGACCCTGCCTTCTGGTTAATAGTATTAAGTATGGGAATCAAATTTTCAACTTAATATAGAGAATGATGAAAAATAAAAATAGGGTCAGAAAGTCATTTCTGGTGACATTTGTGTAGGGACTGAAGGTAATTGTCATTTGGCTGTCAAACCCAAAAAAATAAGGAGGTGGTTAAGTAAGCCACATAGATGTGGGTGCCTTTTATCCCCTTATAATTTTTCAGTTTTGATACCAGAAGAAATCTACTTCTGAAGGTCCAAAAAAATGCTGTTGCTATAGGAACAGGTAAGCAGATTAGACTTGAAAGACCAGTTTAGGAACAAAGAGTGTAATAGACAGGGCTAAGGCAAATAACCAAGAAAGCACTTAAAGGAAATATCTTTTAGGTTTGTTATTTACATATTAATTTGAGGAAGATCAAATGCTATTATAGAATGAGAGCATCACATTGCAATTACACCATTACTGACATAAAAGACTCTGCTTACACAATTAGCAGAAAGGCCTTATTAAGTAGAAATACGAATTTCTAACTCTCTCTTGATTACAGTGTAATTGAGAAATACGGCTTTAAATTCAGCAAAAGAATTGTCTTTGATTTTTCTACAGTTCCTCAGATCGGAACACATCTGAAATAAAAGAGAACATGAACTTCATCAACTTCTATAACTAGGGAGCTACAGGCGAAATTCTAGAAGTAAACAGAAATGTGTGTATAATTGTTAATATTCCACACATCTTTACTGTCCAACAGTCTTTGTGCACACAGATCTGTGAGAAGAGAAAAAGATCAGAGACCCGGCTGCACTCCTATTTCCTGTTGACGTTCTGCTTCTTGCTATCGGGGAATACCCTGCTCCCAGCCTTAGGGATGTGCTGAAATTATAAGAAGCTTTGAACAGAACTTGCTTTCCTGGGAAGGCTCAAAAATGCATCATAAAGTGGCATTGTGCTTCTCTCCCTTTCCATTTTATTTTAAAAAGCAAACATTCTTGATAAAATGAATCCAATATGTTCAGTCTAGCACATTTACGCTGTCAGAGGTTATATTTATGGGGCAGGGAGATTTCTTGGCCATTAGTCTTTCTCACATTAATCCCAGAGTCAAGTTGCAGAGAAGTGTGTGTGTGTGTGTGTAGGAATGGGAAGAGAGGAAAGCAGCTAGAATCTTACCATCTCATTCTCTTCTCCTTCGTTGAGCAAAGCATGCTGGCCCTTCTCAAAGTGGTCCCCCATGGACAAGTGCTTCCGCTCCTCCTCCCTGACCTTCCCAGAGCAGGCGCTTCCAGGAGGAATTTGCCGAGCCACTGGAGTCGCCAGCTGACTGAAAGAGTTAATGATCCTCCAGGTTACAACTCCTTCTTGCGCACACACCTGCACTCAGCAAATGACAGTACTTAGCAAGCCGAACTAACTCCTCCCATGAGTCACCCTCTGCTCCAGGACTTTCTGCCTGCTCCTTACTGCATTTCCTCAGAGCAGCTGTCCCAAAGGAGACTGCTCCCAGGCTGACCTTTTTGTGCCCAACTTACAGGGAAAGAACTCATTGCCTGCCCAGTGCCTGCCAGCATAAGGCATCTGACTGCAAATCCAACCGGACAATGCGGAGTTGGCAGGACCTCCTGAGGAACTGGGCAGACTTAAGAACTCCCACGTCACTGCTTTATTTGTTGAGGCTAAGGAATTGGGGCTGGGTGAGGCTCTTAGAGTAGCAGATTTTTTATATGTATATTTTTATTGATTTCAGAAGGAAGGGAGAAAGAGAGAGAGATAGAAACATCAATGAGGAGAGAGAATCATTGATCAGCTGCCTCCTGCATGCCCCACACTGGGGATAAAGCCTGCAACCCAGGCATGTACCCTGGCAGCAATCGATTGGTGACCTCCTGGTTCATAGATTGACGCTCAACCACTGAACCACACCAGCCGGGCCACAGGGCTGCAGGTGTTATTTCCTTAATGAAAGCCCCAATCCTTCGGCTTTTAATAGCATCCAGATTCATTTTACTTACAAAAGGTACAAATGATGATCAATCCTCTTCAGGAGATATTTGTAATCACATGTCTTTGTGTAAGCAAAGAGCATTCTTAATGTGTATGTGGAATTAAGTTTACTTTTGTGAAAAACATGTCAAGAAAGAACAAAGATATAATCAAACTATTTTATGAGTCTCTTTCACCAAAATATTGGTAGCTAAATGCCTAAGGAGGGCTAGAAATAAAATAATCAGGTAACTTTGTGGCAAAACTCATTTTTTAACTTATTCACACATTCATTCAATATGCATTGTTTGAGCACAGCAACTACATATACAAATAAAGCCATATTTGCTACCTTCAGACTGATGTAGGGATTTAATCATGCAAATAAATAGAATAGAAGTTTGTTGGTTATTTTGAAAGCTTGAAAGGTACTTGTAATCACGTTTGTGTATGCAAAAAACATCTACCTAATGTGTACATGGTATTAGGTTTACTTTTGTGAAAACATGTAGAGAAAGAACAAAGGTACAATCAAACTATTTTGTGCAGTCTCCTTTCATTAAAATACTGGCTGTTAAACTCTTAAGAAGGACTAGAAAGAAAATATTTTTCCAACAGCTCTGTAAAGTTAGTAGTCCTATGTCACAGATGAGCAATCTTTGCAGCCCTACACAAGGCCCCCGCCCCCTGCAGCTAGTTATAGATCCTGGCTTCAGGATTTGGGGTGACTATAAATCCACGTGCTTTCTGATACAGTCATGCACTGCATAATGACCTTTCATTAACAACAGACCTCATAGATTACACTAATCCCATAAGATTATAATGGAATTGAAAAATCCCTACTGTAATAGTGTCAATAATAATATAAAAAATCCTTATTGTCTAGTGATGTCATAGACATTGTGGCCACCGTAATGTCACAGCTCAATGCATTACTCACGTGTCTGTGGTGATGTTGTTGTAAACAAACAGACCGCACTGCCCATCGTATAAAAGTACAGCACATACGATTGTGTACAGTACATAGTACTTGATAATAATAACAAATGACTATATTACTCATTTATGTATTTACTATACTATACTTTTTATCTTCATTTTATCTTTATTTTATGGTGTGCTCTTTCTACTTAAAAAAATAAAAAAGGGTTTGCTGTAAAACAGTATGCCGTGTTATGCTGGCATCAGCCCATACATCTTGTGTTTACCGTGTCTCTTGATGGCAGCATTTTCTCTTATTCTTGATTTATTCTCCCCATCATTAAGCAGTACCTGACTGTATTCCAGAAATAAAGTGGAAGAGGAGTGTCCATTATTGTCTGCAATAGGATAAAAGATTTTGCCCTTACTTCCCCCACCCCCTCACCCCTGAGAAAGAAGCAGATTTTGTCATGGAATCAATTGCTTGCCCAAGCTCTTCGGCAAAGGTGGTGTTTGGGGTATCCCCATTTTCCCAAGGATGCCACCATAGGCCCAAGACCTAGATGGGCTGCTCTGCCCTGACTCACAAGATCAAAGGAAGGGGAGTCCCTCTGGAGGACCCTGGGCAAGCTTCAAACAAGACCAGGGCCAATCAGATTTGGGAAAGGCAGGATCTGGTGGGGAGCAAAGAACAAAGAACAGCAAAGGAAGAAAGAAACATCCTAGAGGAAAACAGAAGGCCTAATACAAGGTAGCTACGATTTCATTTTTCAAGGCAGCTCAGGAAGTTCATGGATCCTTAATGAGGATTCGCTTCTTGCCACCAAAAGATACCCACAGGTTCTTTACTTGGATATATTCTATGTAATTGTAATAAACTTGCATTACATTTCCAGCTCCTCATCTTTGGAAATAATATTAACTGCTAGTTCATGGGCCAAGCCAAAGAGATTGACATTGCCCCAATGGGGGAAAGCAAGAAATTTGGGCTCTTGTAGAGGTTAAGCAGAACTTAAAGAAATTATGCTTTAGCAAAAAAAAAAAAAAGTTTTTAATAGCATTTACCTTTTCTTGTTATGACATTAATGTATGTTTATTGTGGAAAATTAAATAATGCAGACAAGTGAATAAAGGAAAAAATGAATTCTCCTACTCATAGATAGTCACTGTTAGAATTTGGCTGTATTTATTTCTTTCTTTTTAGTCCAAGCATCCATGGATAATAACAGGCTCATCCTATATAATAAAGAGCTAATATGCAAACGATCATCATGCCATCACACCATAATGGCTCAGACACTCAACACTGGGGAGAGAGGAATGGGGACCAGCCAGGCACAGATGAACTTGCCAGAGAGGAATGGGGACCAGCAAGGCACAAATGAGCATGTGAGAGAGGAATGGGGACCAGGCAGGCTGCGGTCCAGGAGAGGGACAAGCCACCTGCCTGGCAGTCCCAGGCACCAGTGGATGCACCTGCAGCTGTGGCCTGGGAGAAGGACAAGCTGCCTGCCCTGCGGTCCTGGGCACCTGCGGCTGCCGCCCAGTGAAGCCACCCACCCACGGTCTCTTGCGGCTGCGGCTGGCCCAGGCAAAGCCGGCCCAGGTCCTGGGTGCCTGTGGCCAGCCAGAGGGAGGGAAGACTGGGCCCAGGTGCCTGCAACTGGCCAGAGGAGGGAATTCTGGGTCCCAGGTGCGGGCCATGGCAGAGGCAGTTAAGGGCGATCAGGCCAGCAGGGGAGCAGTTAGGGACAATCAGGCAGGCAGGCAGAGGTGGTTAGGGGTGATCAGGCAGGCAGGCAGGGGGGTTAGGAGTGATCAAGCAAGCAGGCAGGCGAGCAGTTAGGACCCAGCAGTCCTGGATTGTGAGAGGCAGTTGGATGTCCCCAGAGGGGTCCCAGATTGGAGAGAGTGCAGGCCGGGCTGATGAACCCCCCGCACACACACACGAATTTTGTGCGCCGGGCCTCTAGTGTTACATTTAAAAGTGTGTGTCTTGTTTTTACTTAATATTTTATTACCTTTTCCATATCACTAAACATTTCTGAAATTTTTTATATTTAACAGACACATAATATTCTAATATATTGGGTATCTATCATATATTCTACTTGATAAATATTAACAAATAGTCTTTCAGGAAAACTTCTTTACGTTCTTAACATAGGCATGTCATCAAATATTTTAATAGTAAATTAAAATATTGTGAACTAGCCTGGCCAGCATGGCTCACTGATTGAGCATCAACCTATGAACCAGGAGGTCATGGTTTGATTCCAGGTCAGGGCACATGCCCAGGTTATGGGCTCAATCCCCAGTGTGGGGCATACAGGAGGTAGCCAATCAATGACTCTCTCTCATCATTGATGTTTCTATCTCTCTATCCCTCTCCCTTCCTCTCTGAAATCAATAAAAATATTTTTTAAGAAAATATTGTGAACTACAACACTAGGCTTTGTGAATAACATCTGGGCTAAGAGATGCAATCTGGCCAAAAGGATTGAGATATTAGTAATAGGCTCCTGCAAAGAGTGGGTTAAAGGGGTGATAAATATCATAGAAAAGAATGGTGAGGCCAATGTTGCCATTGAATCTAATGGAAGTGTGACCAGGGCTCATGCTGGGATAGTGCATGTCTGTACATGTATGTGTGTGCATACATGTGTGTGTGCGCGTAAGAGAGAGTGGGGTCATCAGTGGGATGAGGAAGGAGACAGGCCCGTTGCTGTCCAGATACGTGGAATGTTCTCTTGCAGTGAATGTATAAGCTGGAGACCATCTGTTCTATTATAGGGGTTAAAAAAAGCAAAGCAAACAAAATCGTGAAGATTCAAAATTAAGGCTAATCAATGAGGTAGTAAGTTTCAATAAGTGAAACTGGAATTTAGGGCAATAGCAAAAAGAATACATTAAGGAAACAAAGGCAGAGGTGTTGGCTAGAGAGAACAATGGTTGCATCCATTATACCTGGAGGATAAGAAAGCTTGCTCCTTCCAGCATCCGCACAGGTATGTGAGTTGAGGACTCGGGTGCTCCATTCTATACCGCTTTCTCCTCTGTTACCTCATATGACGCTCACTCAATGGCCGTCTCGTGCCTCCCTTCATGAAGCATTTACCTTTGCTGAGCAGCAAAAAGCACTTTACAATATTACAAGGGCAGGGCAAATAATACTGCTCTTTTGGTACAGATGAGAAAACCGAGGCTCAGAGCAGTGAATTGACTTGTTCAAGATCACATAGTGGGAGAATAAGCGGTAGGAAGTGAGTGTGTTTTCCATCTTATATTCCAAAATATTTGACCACTTAATAGCTTCGTATGCAAGCTCCTGGCTGCTGATGCCAGCAGAGAATGCGGACTGGAGAAGGTGCCCTATACAGGGACACTAGAGGGGCCGGGGCAGAGGAAGGCTAGAACATCTCAGGGTGTGACATCTGGATTGGAATCAGACCAGCCAACCTCTGAAGCGTCTTTCAGTGCCAAGATGATCTGGCTCTGAATTTCTCTCATTTAAAAAGCTGGGTTGCCCACATTAGACAGTGGTGCTGGCAGAGCTCGGCTCTGATTCTTTCTCTCTCCGGTGCTCATGGCCTTTCAAAGATCCCTGGAAACCCAGGACTCCAAAACTGCCCTCCTGAGCCTGGC